AAAAACAAATATCTTAAATATATATGCAATTATAATTATTTAAAAAAAGAAATAGAAAACAAAACAAAGAAATGGTAATATATGAAGGGGAACGTTAATTACATCAAATGGCATGGACCGAATTTCGCAGATCCGGCACAGATAAGCGAGCTGCTCTCGAAGACGATAGCGGACGCACACGCGAGAACGTGCCTGGTGTCGACGGAACAAATACAGGAGTCATTCCGGAAGCCTCACGACATATCCAGATTGCTCTATTACAAAAACATGGCGCACGAGCAACTTTGGCTTGAATGCGCGCAAAAGTTAACCACTGTTATCCAGCAGATCATCGAGTTCGCTAAGATGGTCCCTGGATTTATGAAGCTCTCCCAGGACGACCAGATTGTTTTACTCAAGGCCGGTTAGTATTATTTTTTTTCTTTTCATTACTTATTCATCATTAATAATTTTAACACTATGACTGGTCAGACTTGATATCACTTATCTCGTTCAGAACCCCCCCCCCCCACTTGCAAGTATTTTTATTATTCAAATGCATATAATGGCAAAATTAACACTATGACGTCCGATGGCTCCACGTTGGTGCCATGCAAATGATATAAGTCAGTTCTATCGGCGCAACACGAAAAAATCTAAATTCGACTTGCAGACAGCATAGTGTTAATAATAAATTGGTGACTAGATATCTTAGAAATGAATCTTTCATATTTCGATGTCCAATCAGGACACTTTTTTATTCCTAAGTAGTATATATTCTAATTAACGATAACATTGAATCGTAAATTTTCATGAAACTTTTACAATTGTTCGAATAGTTCTAACGTTTTGTTCATCAATGACCACATCGTAACAGTGTCAAACATGTTAAATATTCAATTGATTAGATATAATAATCAAAGTAAGAAACGAAATAAAACAAAATGAAAAATCATCCCTCTTTTTTTTTAGGTTCCTTCGAGTTGGCTGTGCTACGAATGAGCAGGTACCTCGACCTCGCGCAAAATTGCGTCCTGTACGGTGACACGATGTTACCTCAAGATGCATTCTACACGACGGACACGGCGGAAATGAAGTTGGTTTCCTGCGTGTTCGAACTTGCTAGAAGCGTTGCCGAATTGAAGCTAACCGAAACGGAGTTGGCGCTTTACAGCGCGGCGGTATTACTAAGTCCTGGTTTGTAAATGAATATAACAATATAATATTTATTTATATTAATTAATTTTTCATATCGATAAGGGTCTAAGGTGTTAAAAAAAAAAAAAAAAAAAAAAAGGAAATAAACGATCCACATTTGTTGTTAACCCTTTGAATGCTGAATACATTTAACTGAAGATTGTTTTCTACGAATGAAATAATTTATTATTAATGTGAGACCACAAATGCTTCATATTTAATAATTACAATTTTTCTTTCTCACAATATTATTTTCATTTGACAAGATAGAACAAAAATATTACATTGACATTGATAAACACGCGTATCAAATTTTACCAAACGCATATATGCACTCAAAGGGTTAAATCAATATATATAGGTGGTAAGAAAATTTGTATGAAATTAAAAAAAAAAAACAAAAACACCAAGAATGAATGAATATTAAAAAATGTTGTTTTGTTTCTGAATTATACAGATCGACCGGGACTGAAGGGATTGGCGGAAATAACGAGGCTTTATCAAGCGGTGATACGTGCACTGAGGTCGGAGTTGGACCGGAATCACGTGTCACCGATAAAAGGGGACGTAACCGTGTGCGATGCGATCCTCGCTAAGATTCCCCAACTGCGTGAGATCTCGCTCTTACACATGGACGCCCTGGCAAAGTTCAAACGGTCGCAACCGCACCTCGAGTTTCCGGCCCTTCACAAAGAGCTTTTCAGCGTCGACAGCTGAACGATCGACGCGACGCAGGGCGTCCCGACGCTGACAAACAAAGCGGAACGCGAATAGCGCGGGGCCTTGCTCTGTCGAGGTGAGTTCCGAGCGGGTACTCGAACAAAACTCTGTGAGAGAAAGAGAGAGAGAGAGAGAGAGAAGAGAAAAGAGAAGAGAGAGAGAGAACAGATGATCAAAATATCAAAGGATGATGAGATACGAGAATAAAAAAAACCACCCCTGATAATATAATAATCCGTGTGTGTGCGTGCAAAAACAAAACAAAAACAAAAATAGAAAATAAATCAATTAACCCTTTGGATACATTTGACGTCTGAGACACGTCATTCACTTTTTTTCTCCTAGGAACGAATGACGTGTTTAAAACGTCAAACCAAAAATTAAACTCTTGGGTAGATTTGAAGTCTGAGGAGAGTCGTCATTCACTTGTTTTTTTCATTCACCATGTCGTTTGGCAGCGATTATTTGAAGACATCTTAATACTATACATATGTCACCAATATTTTAGAAATAAAAATAAATTCTTACATAAAATGTATTGCTTTTACATACTACTCTCGAAGCAACCAAAAATTATATCCGTTCCACGTGCAAATATTTTCTTAAACAAATCCGTACCCAAAGGGTTAATAATAATAATAATAATAATAATAACATAATTCGTGACGAGGACAAAATTGGGGGAAGAAAAAAGGTGTGCGTGTTCTCACTCTCTTTCTCTCTCTCTCTCTCTCTCTCTCTCTCTCTCGCTCTTTCTGTGTGTGTGATTCGTTAAAGGATAAAGAAAAAAAAAAATATAATAGAAATGATTATAAAATAAAATGTTAGTATGTGGAAAAGAGAGAGTAACACGTGTTTAGAGTACCGAGGACTATTGAATAATTTGTTAACGTAATATACGGATCTGATACAATTAATCATTTTTCCGTATCTTTGCGCGATATGTACAAGTGATTGATTGATTGATTGATTGATTGATTGATTGATAAATAAATAAGAATAAATAGGGAAGACGAAATAATAAAGTGAGGGGAAGAAACGTGTGAATAGAATGGAACAACAACACGGTCGTGGTGGGGGAAAACGATCAAAACTGGGGTAAATGTTTTTATCCAAAACAAAATTCTCTATATTCTAATTTTGTCCTTATTATAATTCACGAATTTTTGTGATATACATAAGCAACAAATATTAATTGAAGAAACGCGTTATAACGTTTAACGATTGTTTGTATAGAAATAATTTATCGATGCTTTATAATATTATTATCTCTTAGAAACAAACAAATAATAAAAAATAATAATAATAATAATAATAATAATAATAATAATAATAATAACGTAACAACTACGAGCACAC